AACCGGCCTGCTTCTCTTTCCCGCCGGAACACGACCGCGCGAGTCGAAGGTAAAGGGTACATCTGCAACGGAGTCGCGCGAGAGCGAAGCATAGAGACACACGTTTCTGTTTTAGAATGGAAACGTTCGCGTCGAAGTCACAGCTGAAGTAATCGACCACTAGTAATATACTCGGCAAGTTTAAGTGATTAACACCGCGAGACACTCGTTGCTCGACGCAGCTCTTCCAGCTCTCCCATGCAGCTCTCCCTCGACTCTCGGTGGCAGAGTTCGCGTTCAACGGGACGACTCGTTAAACTTGTCACTTCCCGCGACAGACAACCGTACTCGTATTCTGTCTAAAATAATCGCTGCTGATCCGGATGGATCGCAGCCAGAAGGTACACACCTGCGCACTCGTCGAAAATATCCGGCTTTCGACGGTCAATCGAACTGTACCTAGAGTCGCTTTCTTAATTTTTTATCCGCAAAGTCTCGGCCAGCTGTGCCGCCGCGCCGTTTTGAATATTTCAACGCGAAAAGATTACGATCGCGCGCGCGGGTATCGAGCTCTAGGACCGAGTCCGCTTCCATCGCGCTCGATCTCGATCGAGGGAATTCTCGTGGCGGCGTAAAATGCCCCGGTAAAAAACGGGATACGGAGAATCGCTGCTGGGAGACGGTCCGTGAGTCACGATCCGCTTCTCGAGCGGCTTTCGCGGTGCCGCGCCACACCGCGCCGCGCTGGTATCTTCCTGGGCGCATCCTTTGAGCGCGAACGCGATCCACTGTGGTCAGCCGTGATCCCAACGTCTTGGATTCCCGTTGCAACTCCCGGGATTCCTCTCTCGATCTTCCCCGTTCGATCCGAAACGTTCTTTTTTTCCCCCTACCGAAAAGCGTGCAGCTCGAACGGAGTGTACCGACCGTCGAGACAGGTTCCCTCGTTCACGGGTTTTTCGATTTACAGCCGGGCGTGGATGCACGGAAGGGGACGCGGCGCGACGCGTTGCCGGTCGTCCACGGGAAAGAAAGCGTTTCACGGAGATCGTTGAAGCGTTAACAGATATTAACTCACGACGCTCGGTGTAATTAGTTCCAATTGGTAATTCAAGCGCGACCTCTTTCCCGCTCGACTCGGCTCGGCGAGACCGGACGAGCAAAAGGATGGATGGCCCAGACCGATCAACCAGGCGCATCGATTTCTCCGTCGCGCCGCGCAGCGCCGAGTCGATGTTGCGCCGCGGTGGCCCCGCAGCGATCTCCTCTGTTTCCCGTTTCCGGTCTGAGTTCGGTCTCGTTGGTTTGTTTGCTCGCAGGTGAACGGAGGCAGGACGATGTTGTCGTACATGCTGCCCACGGACGACAAGCCGCCACCGGGAGACACGAATCAGGCCAACCATCGCGCTGGTAAGCTGCAGAAGAGCCCGAGAGAACGCGCTCACCTTGCCACCAAGTCGGGCATCGTCGTTTCCCCGAGGAGTCGCGCGGACACGGTCAAAACCATGATCGTCCCGACCAAGATCGAGGAGAACGTCGCCGGCGAGCAACACCACCGGCAGCCCGAGCAACACGGGCTTCCGGCGAACGAGAGCCCGAAGCACAACGGCACCGTGGTCAAGAAGTCGACGCTGCATACCTCGAAGGTCACCAAAGACGACAGCCTGTACAGCATCAACAGCGACGCCAGCACGGTCGGCAGCGATCGGAAGAACAAAATCTTCAACGGGGCGAAGCACACTAGTCTGAAAAGGTGAGGAAACGCGCCGGTTCGCCGGGAAGCACGCTAACGGAGCGCCGAGGTAACCGAGTTCAGGGGGTCACCCGAGACCACCTTTCTAATTCGGTTCGCTGGGTCTTTAACCTTCTACCCTGGGTGTATCAAACTCGCGCGACCGATTAAACTCTTTCTCCCTCTCTCTCTCTCTCTTCTCTGTCTCTCTCCGACGGATCAGCATCGATCGTCCCGCAGTTTACCTCGAACTTGGGAAATCATCGATAATCCTCGTCCCGTTTTATCGGCGACGTCGTCCGAGATAAACGACCGCGCGCGCGTTTTTCGCTATTTTTTCTCCCCGGCCAGCGCGATACGACTTCCTCTCGACCGGTATCGAGAAAATACGCGCTTCCGCGTGACGGGCGCGACTTGGACGGGGACCGTGCCGCTGGCAGGGGCGCAAGAGCACGCGGAATGGCAGGAACGCGCGTTTACGTCGATGCGACCGCGCCGAGGAAAACCGGAGCGAGTCGTTCACTGTCAAGGTGCGAACGTTTGGAACCGTTGCTCGGGTTAAAATTATCCCGCGACTCGATAAACGTCGGCCGGTCGTGTCTTTTTTTGAATCCGGCGCTCCGGCTCGGCGGCTTCGTTTTCTCCTTTCTTCCTTTTATTTTCGTCGGCGTTAAGGTCGATGGGGATTGACGGGGCGCGAGCGAATTGTAATCGACGGCGGCTTTCGGTGTGCCCCGCACGCCAACGCTACCGGCACGGACGAAGAAAGCCGGAGGGACACGATCCGCCGCGCGCGCGTTAATATATTTCATCGGACGTTGCTTTACAAAGCGGACACGATCGAAGCCTCGGACGGCGGCGGAGGATGTCATAGCGTATATACCGGTTTGCGAGCCCCGTCTTTCGCCCGGCGCATCCCACTGAAACTCCCGTGACATTTACATGTTGGCTAGGTCACGGTCATGCGAACGTCTTGTGAACCGTGCTCGAACAAAGCCCAACCTATACAGCCTTTTGTCCTTGCGGCCGGAGTTACGAGTTCGAATTCTTTGTCGATTACACGCGCACTTTAATAAACATCGTTTTCAGTACGCGGGACGCGTCGCTCGCGCGCAAAGCTGCGACCCGGGGAAATTTTACGGTGCAACTTTCACGGAATACTTGAAGCATGAAGCTTATCTTGAAGGTCGCGCGGAGAGAATATTTTTTATACGCTCTCGAATCGAATTTTTCTTCCTTAAGCCGCTTACTTTACGATACCTGCGTGCGCTCTTGGAATTCCTTGTTAATCCCCTGCACTCGAAACTTTTCCCCCGGAAATATTCAGCATTTTCTCCTGAACGATACAAACGACATTCTTCGAAGCTAACCAATCGAGGAAACGTACGCGAAATTAAGGAGCGAAGCTTAATATTAGATTTCAAACTGAATTTTGTTCGTATTCAATCAAGAGATGTCCGAGAGTCGCTTCTCGTGAGCGCGAGAGGTTTAAAAATTCGAGTCGGTTCGATTGCTCGGTGGTTTCGGTTTAAAGGGGAAGGGTTAAAGGCGTTTGACGCCGTTCCTTCGGCCGGGTGAAAGCTGAGAGCGACGTCTCGGCGAGAGCCTCCCAGATTTGCGCAATTTCCTCGTGCAACAGTTTCCATTTTGTCGTTTTTGCGTGAGTCACGGCGCGTTAGGAAGTGCTTTCGGGGCGAATAAATTTGCGCGTTTCGGAGGAAGAGAACGAGAGAGCGACGCGTGGGCAGATGGTTGCGAATTATAGTTACGTCATCGGCAACGGTTTGAAACGGTGACATAGATCGGGCGCAAGCAGAGAGGGGTCGCCTGTGTCAAACAAAGGGATACGACGGTGTGTACAGTGTGTACACAGTCGTTGGAATATTTACGATCAATTTCGGGAGGATACAATGCTCTTTGTTGTACGACAGAATGTCCGAACAATCGAAACACCGGCTCGGTTCTACCTGCACCGGCGAATCGATTCCGTGGAATAAAAAAATGTCACTCGAGGCTGCGGTTTACAAAGAAAGCGGACATGAATATTCACTTGGAGATACGAATGTCATAATACGTCTGTTCGTTGTTTACCTATTCTACTTATCGCGACTACGGCGTACGTGTATCGGACCTTCGAAGTTTTCTTTTAAACGCAGACCATCGCACAAGTAGATTGTATATATATTCTTTCGTAGTAAACAATAAGTTGTACTTCGTTGAATCAAGTGGTTCCGTTATCACGGAGGCGTTCGTATTTTCCCTGGATCGCGGTACTTACACGGAAGCTCGCGATAACGGAGCCACGTGAGCCGCGATGCATCTCCTCCGTGACGTATCGGTGTGTTACCCTTGAAACGGTGCAGCGCCGTTGAATGATCTTCCCGCCACGTGGCAGCACCGCGCCGACGATCCACTCTAGTCTGGATCAGAACCCCGGCCCGCGAGAGAAAGAAGGAAACTCGTCGCGACCGGGGAATATTGATCAACCACCGGAGCCTAATGCTGCTCAGGCGCACCATAAGTTCTCCGTCGACCGCTGGAACCAACATGAAATATAAAGCGATCGTTTTTAAACCTAAAGTTATCGAGTCGCGCGACTAGTTTTTCCCAGCGACCAGATCGTACCCGTTAAAATGTCTCTTGCAACTCTTATTCCAACGCGCGCGCGAATTCATTCGTATGTTAATTCCTACGGGATCGTAGAACTAGTCCTGACGTAACGATCGAATATCGATTATCCGTCGGTGATCCGGGGAAAAAATGATTTCTGCCGGACAGTTAGAAAGGTCGATGCTACCGTGGCTGGCTGCGCGTCGCGTAAAATAGGCGTACAGAATCCAGACTCGCAGCTTTAATCTCGATACTCGGTGCTTGATCGGCGTAACCGGATCCCTCGATCGCGGGATTTCGATTTTGATACCGGACCGCCCGCTGCATGCGGTTACCGAGTGTCCGATTCACTCGCTTCGAGCGCTGTCACGCGATAGGAAATTGAGGTTTACGACAACTATTTTTTCGGCTTACCGCGCGGCTGCCTATACGCTTTTCTTTTGTTGCCAAATCGATGTCCATCGTACGTATACGCTTACATGCACGGCTGCTCTGTAGAACGCAGTCGGAACCTATCCGCGAGAATACGTTGAACCGACTCGATCCTACGGAAGATACGAGTGCATCCCTCGGGATAACATGTTCTTCTCATTCCGCAGAGTTTCCTTCGGTTCGAGCAAGGGATCGATGGTAGAAACTCTGGTATACGAGACACCTGTTCAAGAAGAACCGGAAACCAATCGCTTTCTGGACCACAACGGACTCGTACCCTCTATGATCGTACCTGTACCCGATACCGAGTAAGTAGACAGCTTTTTCTACCCTCGATTGTTGATCAGCGCGCGTGGAATCCTACCGCGTCAACCTCTGTACAATACCAATTGTAGCTACGGATAATGACGTCTTTAGTCCATAATCCCAACGAGAACGTGAGGAAGGATTCGGGTCCTACGGCCGAAACAAAGGGTATCATTGTTATAGAAAAGAGAAAGCTCGACGGATCCGGGACAAAGTAGTCCCCTCCAGAGTGTTACTTTACTGTTTAGAACAATTCCGCCTTTGAAATGCCGAAAAAGGTCCTAGACCTGAGGACTCTTGCGGGTTCAGTCCCCTAAAAGATCCCCTTCTGCTTCAGGTACCGTTGGCTTGATTCGCGGCAACCTTAGCTTTGAATATACAGGTAAAAGTATCTCGTTCATTTGTGCCGTTTGACCTGCCGCTGAAACAGAGCGAGTGTCGAGTTTTAAATGAATTCCGCTTTTCCCTGTTACCGTCGAGTAGAATTAAGGGATGACGACGTTCAACCTCGTATTCTTCCTTCTACTGGTTTCATTAACACGTTGACTGCCACGGTGATCGGTGACCGGACTTTGAAACAATTTGGAAACAATTATAATTCGTAAGATAACTGACGTTGAATAAAAATATTCGATAACGTGAATAAGTAGATAATATTGTAACGTAAGAATTGTGGCAGCAAATAATTAATTCCTATTTATCTTTGTTACAAGGGTGTAAGTGATACGTGAAACGCTCATGTTTTTCGTGCCAGTCAACGTGTTAACCGACTATAAAGCTTTCCAGATCATGAACGTTGAGATTGAAATCAGATGTCACCGGCGTGCCAATTCCGGATGCTCGCGCCCACGCGCGCGAACCGTTTAATAAGCTTCCGTTTGTCGTCTAATGCGACCGTTATCGCGGCCAATTTCTTTAATCGGCGACGCTGGAACGTTCAACGCCGGTTTTCGGCAACGAGCATCGCGAACAGGACCACGTTTCATTGACCTGGAAAACAACTCGTTGCCCGGGTAATTCTTCTGCTTTCCTCCGTACCCTTTCTTCCGAATAAATTTCGCATTTGCGTACACGCGAGGCGGCGGCGGCACACGCACGCTCCAAGCACGCTCGCGTCGCGGAGAATTCCGCTCGAAACCGAAAAGTGGCACACCGACATAAAAGGTGGCGATATTGACATCATTCTCGGAAAGGTTTAAAATAGAGATAACGCGTGATGTCATTCGAGGAATTTGCACGTCGATGAATATGAATTTGCGGCGCGTGTGCCTCGCGGTATGTCCGGTTACAACGTGCCTCCAAGTGCCATGTATAACAGCGGCAATAATAATAACAACGCGCACTCGTTGCCGCGAGCCGCCTGGGAAAAGATAAGAAGAAACCGGGAATAAGACATGCGTGCTGCAACATCGACGCAAGGACGACACGAATAACGATCGCGTTTACTCATCGATAAACGATCGTTTGACCGTTTCAGTCCCACGAACAGCGCGACCGCGCTCCTTTCGTTTCAACTCAGAAACTAAACATTTCTACATTTTTCCAGTTCTAAGCGGGCAATCGCAAAAACGAGAATGCATAATTAAAAGGAAAGACAAATAAGCTTCATCTGATTCTACGAACCGATAGACTTCCACTTTTAGGCAGCGTAACCGCCATCGCGCCGCTTGGGACTCAGTTAACCCTCTGCACTCGAAAGTTGTTCATTTGAAACATTCTATACTTCCTAATCAGACAAGATTCTCTAAAATGAATTTACCAAGAAATCGCACATAAATCAGGGAAAGCTATTTTCTTTCAAAGTTTCACTTAACGGTAACTACCAAAGTCTATTATCCTCCTGTATCCAATCACCTAGCGACTGGCAGTCGACCCTCAAGCAACTAAGACCTTCAAAGGGCTAACACTTCCACGCACACCTCATCTACACTGAAAAAATGATAAACCTACAAGCAATAATCATACACGTCTCTCCGACAACCCTCGTCTGAACGTTCCCGATGATCGCGCAAAATTTCATATTCTCATGCGTCCCGCGGGAAACGAGTAAACCGGAAAGCAGTAAAGACACCTAACGGTTCTTCGTTTATTTTCCAACGTCCGCTGCTAGCTGCAGAACGAGCGGAATAAAACGAAAAAACGGCCGCGGCGACACGCGCATCCTTTGCAGCCTCGATACACGCGCGCGTCGGCCCGTTTCCGTTGTCCCCCGAGAGAGGACGACTGCGTCGCGGTTTCCTCTCGCGACGCCGGGGTTCCCCTGGCCAGTGCCGAGGGAGACCGGGCGGAGCGAGGGAAGTCTGTGCGAACGCAGGCGTGGTGCCGAGGATTTACGATCGATTCCGCGGCTCGTATATACACCGTGCTCCGCCGGAGACGCGAAGTTTAGTCGGTGTCGTGCCCGGGCATCGGTCAACAGCCTCGCCGCGAGTGTTCCCGCGAAACGTCCACGTTCGTGTCTGTCGGTTGCGCACAGTGATCGCCGCGGATCGAGCTAGATCGGTGTCTCGAGGGTGCGGACCGGTGCATGCCAGGTGTAGCCAGGGGAGCCTGTCGTTGTTCCCGAGCCGCGGCCACGGGGAGCTGACGGATTCTCGTCTGTCAGGTAGGTCCGCCAAGTCCAGTCCCATTCAGCTCGACTCCGCTCCGCTCGGACGCTCGTAAACAGCCCGGCTAGTGGTCTCGTCGAGGCACGCTGATTCGGAGCGGAGATCGCGCGGGTGGACCGTTGCTAAGTACGATCGTGTGCTCGGCTTCAAACGATTTCGAAACTGTCGCTCCGTGGAAGCTGTTAGCAAGAACGAGTACAATTGATTGCTCTGCATTATGTTACGAAGGGAGAAATATATTTATTGCGTTTTCAACTTGCGCGTTTCTGGTTTGGATTTATCTGAGTTTCTTTGGTAATTTCTGGGAGAATCTGTGTCTTTTTTATTATTGCGAAAGAGACCAAAATGGGTCATTCGGAGCCAGTGGGCTAGTGTTGAGAATTTTTAACTGGGTTACGTTTACTTTGAAAGTACTTTGCGAAGGATTTGTAGGTGCTTTTTGAGTTCGTTTATTCGAGAGTAGTTTTGGTTGAAGTCGGTGCCTCTGAATTGCGCAGTTTTCAGTTTGAGACTACTGCTCTACGGAAGGCACAGATTTTTATTGAGAAGCTTCGTCCAAGGTTTTTACTTGGAAACAACTGCTGCTTTGTAGAATAGGTTCTTTGTAATTCGTCTTCACGAGACGTTCGGAGATTCTACTTGAGTTCCTCTCACTTGCAATGTTCGGCTCGAAAGTACCACTCTAAGACTACAGTTTCTTTTCGAGACGAACGTTACTCCGATTGTTGCAAATCGATGCACGATTGTTTTTCGAAAGAGACCTGTGGCACCTGGGCGAACGGAATACAGTCGCGTCCTACCCCCACTCCGAATGTTGCGACCCCGGAACGATCGGGGTGGGGTGAGCAGCTAACGTTCTTCTGGAAAATAGAGTATAGTCGGTGTTTTCGCGAGCCAGGAACGCCGGGGAACCGAGTTAACCTAATAAAAAGGGGAGCGGTGCGAGAAACGTGTCGCAGTTAGGGGAGGTAGGGGAAATGCAAAAGAGACCCGACCCGGAATACACGTTCCTCCGACCAGTTACCATGGCGACGAGCCATCTTGACACACTACAGACCCTTTCTTCCGAACCCGCGGATTCTCTTTTTTCCCCTGTAGAGCCATCGCTAACCCTCCGCTCGCGGGGACCAGGTAACAAAACGTTGTTCCTCGCGTTAACCCATCGATTCCCTCGTCTTTCGCGCGTTCGAATCGTCGCCTCGCCTCGCCTCTGCACGCTCGAACCGGTGCTCGCGCCGGGTCGAGTGCAATTCAAATGCAACGCCGTTCCGAGAAACGATTTCCGTATTAACCTTGCATTCGCGAGATCGACGCGCAACACGGTCAACGCGTTTCCAGCGTTCTCCCATCCGCGATCTTGATTACACCGGAGAGATATTTCATTCGATCAATGGAGGACCAATTACCGGAGAAATTTTCATTCCGCCCGGAGATCGCAGTCGAACGTGTTTCGAATTACTCGCGAACCACTCGCGTTACCTGAAAACTCCGCGCTCTGGACCGAACAGTTATGCAACGAGATACTTTACGATTTTAACGAGCACTTTTTCGAAACGGCCGCGTTCCGCGGATAAAACCGTGGCGTACCTTTGACCTATCCGCGAAGCGAACGGACATATTATTGCACGTTCGGTTCGCATCGATTTCCCCGAGAAATCGTTCCGTTGCATCGATCGGATCGATTCAGCGGCGAAGGTCCCGCTGGAAAGCTGGCTTTCCAAAGAAGCCGTGCCTCGCAAACCGAGCAGCTCTCGAATGCTTATCGCCGATTGAAATACAGTCGAATCGGTGTCGCGCGAAAGATAATACTGTTATCTTACCTCGGCGAGCTATCGTTATTTTTCTAACGCCGTCCGCGCGCTTTATCCGCGTATCTCTCGCGCGACTCTCGCTCCATCGAGCATTCCTTCGCCGTGAAATCCTTGCGAAACGTCTGATACCCATCTCCCGGTTCTCTCGCCGAGCATAATGCTGTGGGAAGACGGCGATCGAGTCGGGCACGATGCGGCCGCAACATCAATGAAAGCTAGTTTACTCCGGTGTACCGTTGATCGACCAAAAAATCAGCTAGAAGCGGTCGAACCTGTCGTGTCTTCGTCTCAGACAATTCAATCGATTGGTCGCGCGCAGCTTCTTCGCAAAAACGCGCAAACCAGCGCTCCTTTTTGCCGCCGAGAGTCGTCTCGAGCACGAAAAACGAAGTTTCACCGTGGTCTCCCATGGACGCGGGAAGCGCGAACGAATCGGGTCCCGAAGATTTCGTAACGCTGTCGGCGGGCGAAGGAGAAAAAGGAAAAAGAAATCACCGCGCCAGAAGTTGTATAACAATCGAACGGTTTCTTCGCGGCGCGTTTGTTCGGCCGCGCTTTCGTAACCGTGTAAATTGAAGCGTG